TATCTCCGTCAAATGTGGCTCAGTTGACCGGGTGCATCCGCCAAGAGAACACGTGATATGTAAATGATCTCTTCGGGGGATGGATGGGAAGTATTTGGCAAATCAGTGTCCAACCATCAACCCTTCTACAGTATAGTATTTTTGGCTTTCGGCTCCGTGACCTATCTACCTATGCCTGCCTAAATGATTACTTTTTATTTGTCCCAGCGGCTGTCCTATGGTCCCGTCCCTCTTGATGCCCTTTCGCTGCTCGCTGCTCGCTGTCCTGTCCTGTCCGCTTTATGCATAAATTAATGAACAACAACGACCCTACCCCTGCCCCTGCCCTGCCTTGCCCTGTCCTGTCTGCCGGCGACGCTGATCACAGGTCCAGGTCCCGTTATTCACTGGAGCTGTATTTGCACCGGACCAACACCATCTGGCTCTTGTTAAAATGTGAACGGCTCATCCATCCTGAGCTGCGCAATAATGCTTTTGGGGCTGGCGTGTCCTGCCTGACCCCTTTATGTTTAGGGGTTGCTGCTGCATCTAGTTGCCTGAGTCTGCGCTCTCCTGACCCATGACAGATATGTTCATATGTATGTATATATGGTATGTATTTTTTTTTATCAAAATCTCAGCTATCTCGTTATTATTGCTTAGTGCTAGCCGTTGTCCTGCATCTGTCCTGGGTTCGGAGTAGGTAAGTAAGCTTACGCACCAATATCAAGGGTGTGTTTGGGTTGTGTGATTTTGTGAAACTTCTCAGTAAAATAACACATACGTATGTATGTATATTGTACCATAGATAGGAGTAGATCTAGGAATATAGCTAGTATATGGACTAGCCCAAGGGCAGTGTTTATTCGCGATGGGCCTTTTCTTTTCTTTTCTGTTTCTTTTTAGTTTGTGCTGCCTCGAAAGGATGTCGCGGGAGCAGATGTGCACTTGCAGATACATAAATGCATATTTACGAGTCTACCATAGCCCATACCCTTCGCATCTGGGCTCTTGCTAAATTTATGTATTGTATATTCTTGTATGTATACATACATATGTCTGCTTGGGGAAGAAATTTCGCAATCGCCTTAACTCAATTCAACGGATGGTGGGTCAGTGGCACACCATCTGCTGCTGACCGCAAATCGTGATCGCGACTCCCCGAGGCAGCCGATCCGATGCCGCTACTTCCACTTAGTTTCCCTTTAGTTGTAAATTGTAGCTTCAGTATGCCAAGTGTTTTCTCATTATCGTGCCAAGGCTGTCAGGCAACAGGATAGGGGCAGCAACAACAACAGCAACATCAACAGCAACACAAAAGAATGCATTTGCTTATGCTGCCAATATAAATATGTAAATGAAGATTTGTTTTCTTTAGTGTGTGTCAGTGTCAGTACGAGGCATGAAATCTGATGGAGGGACGCTGGAAAAGCCACTTTGGAACAATTAATGATTGAAAGAACTCTACATGCATATGTACATGTGCATGTACATATATGTATGTATGTACATATAATTACATCTGCATCTACATATTTACATGCTTGCATGCGCGTGGACATGCATTCGCCATTGCCAATTTCAAATCCAGACGCATTCCACACATACGCACTTGCATATATATTCGCACATTTAAATGCATACTAGATCTATCCTCTAAGCACACGCAGGTATGTACATATGTATGTGCCCGTACTTATTATAAGTGTATGTATGTATGTATCCTTGTGCATATTGACATTAACAATTCTAACGGAGCTATTGTGTGCGTGTGTGTGTCCCTTATTATACATATGTACATATAAATAATTATATACATATATGTATATGTGTATCGTCTTATATTTGTTAAACAGGAGCGATGCATGCAGACTGCACATAGATATCTCGATGCATATATTAGTTAAACAGGACCACGATTATGTACAATTTACGTATGCATGTACATACATACAGATGGTTGTATGTACACATACGTATAATTGTAATTCTGTGAAACCGATGAGTGTGGTGTGGTGTGGGTGCGTTTGTGAATATTCGAGCCTAAATGAATTCAAATATTCGCAGGCGGCAATATACAATGGAGCTGCAGATATGTATGTACATATGTATGGCAGGTGGTGGTCTGGACCAGCAGTCCAGTCGGGGAAACTTCCACATAATTATGACCACTCAGTCGTCAGTCGCGGCATCAGTGTCTACATCTACATACTGGCGTTTTGCCGAAAGGGTGGGATGGGGTGGTGGTGACTATGAAATGCCTATATTCTGGGATGTTTATAAGGTGAATCCAGACCATCTCAAGGTATAATTAAAGTATACACTCGTCCGTTTGTACGTATGTACATCCCCTCATTGTTCGCTTGGAAATTATTATTATTTATTCCCTATAAATTGTATTCAAACGAAACTATAACCTTAGTACACATTTTTTGAGCATGAGAATATTCGCAACTGACGCAGCGTAGCCGTGAGGGTGATGCGATGGGCGATTTGCAACAAAATGTTGGGAGATGCATCATTATTCTGCAATAAATGAATATATGTACATATGTATGCATTTACATGCATGTGTACATGTAAATGTAAATATATTATTTGGGTATGATATTCGCTGCTTCTGGCTTCTTTTGCATGAGCGAATGTGTATTTGGGAAAAATTATAGGTTTCCGACCGGAAACCTTCGAAGATCAGCAAAACTTAATTTATCTAACATTAGCCAGGAGGCCGACTTGCATAAGTTATGCCTTCTCTCAGAGTACATCTCAGGAATAAAAGCTCCTCCTTAGCTGAGCTGGGAAGAGATAAGGAAAGAGGCTAAGTGGTCGATTCCTATCTAACCGACTTTTGATTAAAAGGGTAACTGTTGGTAGGTAATGTAGATTATATCTTTATTTCATTGCTATAACAACTTGGCTAGTAGCCCTTCCCAGGGAAAACAGACTATCTTCTGTCTAGTTCGATTTGAATGATATTATTATTACAACAGAGGTCCGTCCGGAATACATTTTTTTCATTGTATCAATGGGAGATAAGAGCAATGAGCGCCTGGGTTCATTGAGACTTGCTGGTCCTTGCTGAATGAGTTTGTAGCTCAAAATACTAATTAATTAGTGAATAAAAATTATCTCAGATATATCTTAACACTAATTTGAGATTAATAAATACTCGTATGTTCGCATATTCTTGTAGTCCACATAGCCCATCAGCAATTATTGTATCTCAAATGTACATATCTTACGTATGAATTATCGTTAAGAAGTATGTCGCTTCCTTTCAAAAAAATAATTTTTTAACCAAACCAACCTGGGTTCTGTCCGCTCGAACTGATTGGCGATAATCCCACATTCCTCTAACCATATTCTGCCCAGAAAGCTGGGCATAAATATGTACAAATGTAAATACATATGTATGCATACATATATGCTATGTACTTTGAATTTCCGTTCTAGGGGATTAATATAAATTAATAAATAGGCATTTCATGCAGATGTGGATGCCCTCCATTTCCTCTCTTGTGTACATATTCATACATAAGTACATACATATATAATATATATAGATATATTGATTATATCGTGTTCGTTATCTGCAGCATCGGCTAAAGCATGGCAGCCATGATTAATTATAATTGACTATAATTGTATGGCCGACAGACAGTCTCTGTTGTGGAGGAGTGCATTTTTTCTTTCTGTTGGCTCAGGCTCCGACTGCATTGCATCTGAAACGCGACCTTGGTAGCATGTCATATGCTACTTTGAAAGAGTTGAGACATTCGTTTTGGTGTAACGTTTAAGGAAAATCGATATGGTTCGATATGTTCTGGACTGGACACTGCACAGATGAAAATCAAAAATCAATGAAATGGCAGCCGTGGCAGCGATGAACTCCAGTATGTACATATATGCACATGCTTATGTACTTGTACCTAAAGGTTCGGTATCATATGCTTATCATACATACATATACATATACATATACATATACATAGATATATGCATACATAAATGCATAAACATTTATGTGCATGCTACGCGCCATGACGACGACCGGAAATGCATCCAGAGCGTACACACACACCCCACACACCCCACACACACACACACACACACACACACGCATGCATGCACAAAATGCAACGCATAAACATAAGCCAGACAGAAAGAGTCAACAAAACTGTGTGTGTGTGTGTGTGTGTGTGTTAGAGGTAGAAAGCGAGAGAGAGAGAGAGAGAGGCCTTGAAGTAGACATTAAATCGTGCACAAATTTGCATGCCATCGACCAGGTCCAGGTCCAGGTCCGGGACCTGACTGTGGGTGCAGCGCGGGTCTATGGTGGTGGTTGTTGCATTGGTCATTCCTATTGCCGCCATATAAGGGATGTTACGTTACTGCAGAAAGTGCAGCGGGAGAGCCGAATGCAACCAAAAATTGCACTTGAGCCGCACTTTACCCGTATGTACGTGTGTGTGTGTTTGTATGTATGTATGTGGTGTGTGTGTGTGTGGGGGGAGGGCGATAGTAATCCATGGACGGGGGCGGTATAGGGGATGATGCAACGAAAATGCATGCGAAACGTGGTATGGGGCAGACGAATTTTGTACACATACAAGCACACACATGGGACAACATGGCAAAGCAGGAGAAGTCTGTGCCTGGACATGCCTGGACATGCCTGGGCAGCGCACCGACACCGACACCGACACCGACTGCGACGACGACTGCAACTGCAACTGGCATTGCAACTGCAACTGCACTTTGTCGAGAGCGCCGGCGCTGGCATAGCATTCGCGATGGGTCCCAGGTCCAGGGCAAGGATCTGTATCCACATCCGCCGCTGCCGCTGCTGCTGCTGCTGTTGCTGCTGCTGTTGCTGCTGTCGCTTTTTGTTTATCGCACACAATTTTTATCTCATAATAAGCAAACCGCTGCTCCCCCTGTTCTCTCTCCCATCCATCAATGCATCGTCGACGTTGCGCTGAGGCAGCAGGCGATGGCAGATTTTTATTCTCAATTATTTTGGACGCCGCATTCACAAACGCAATATTCCATGGAGTAGAACAGCCGACTGCGGATCGTCCAGACCTCGCGGAGCATTTTTATTTCTCAAATGTGCATAACTTAGCTATTAAACTTATACACATACGAAATGTGGATTGTGATACAAACAAATAATTCAACTCATATTAGAAACAAAAAACAAAACAAACAACAACAACAACAAAAACGAGCATACATGGAAATTCAAATAAATTGAATTTTGAATTTGTCGGGCATCGTTTAATACCCTTTGGGCTTTGTTGCACAGAGTCAAGTATCTGACCGTTTTTTTCCCATTTGATTTCAGATCATCATAATTTTAACAAAAACAATAGACCAAATACGTTTTTAAAACTAAAACCTATAGCCACCATAGAAGTCCACGCTAACTCAACTCAACCATCACTCAGTTTTAAAAGCAATAGAACGGATGCAGTTATAACCTCTGATTTTTTTATCAATACTCATTACAACAAAAGGAATTAACAACAACAACAACTTCAACTACAACAACAACAACATCAACATCAACTCTAGACCTGATCAATTAAACCAACAACAACCGAAAACCAAGCACATAATATAACCATATAGCCATATAAATATAAAACCAACTCAGTCAACCAAAAATCAATAAACGAGAACAGAACCCCAACCCGAACCAAAACGAGCCGTTTAAAATCTATCAAAAATTTGAATATTCGGCAATCGAAACCAAACGGAATAATTAAAAACAACAAAAGTTGCAAAATTGAAATCAAAAGTACAAAACAACATAATGAAGGATGAATAGATTTAAAGAAATTAAAAAATAAAAATAGAAAACGTGAAACCGAATCTGGAAAATCATAAATTTAACGCTTTTCCAGCCTCACCTTATCAAGGATATAACAAGATTTTTGAACAGGGAATGGGATGACAAGCAATGATATTTATCAGGCCTAGAGAAGATATATAGAGAATTCGACTTGACTTGTAGATAAATCTTTGAAGTTGTATTATAACCAGATATTATAGAAGTAACTAAGTGTAGACATTGGGCTCGAACACATACCCATACCCTGAACATATTAGACGGTGCACTAGCCACAGCAACAACATACATTCGTTGAATGCTTGCTCAAGACACACTGACACCGGAACAGACAGTTTGGAATATCACTTACCATATAGCTAGCGTTTTTCACAGAAGCTAGACATAGCCAACCTCCACACCCACACCCACATAGGCATACATACATACATACATACATACATACATACATACATATGCACGATCACTTTGTGTAAATAGACTTTGAAACATAAAGAAAGCATTAGTAGTAGAGTTTTTATAGTATAGTATAGTATAGTATAGTATAGTATAGTATAGTATAGTATAGTATAGCATCTGGAGAGAGATTGATACAGAAACTAATACTAAATATGTGTATTATCGTAACGAAGTAGGAATCAGTACTCACTAATCGATAGCAACTAAAACACAGACTAAAACACGCAGACTACTTTCTCCATATAACCGTTAAGTACAGCATAGGTATAATATTAGTAACTTTGATAAATCGAGGAAGACATAATTTACATACGAGTATATCAAATTAATATCCGGCTGAATCAAATTGTTGGCTTTGTTTTAGTTTTTAAATATTCAAAATGAACTAGGGGGAGACAAGGGTAAGCTAGACAGGGCTTAGAATTGTGTATTATATTTAATTATATTTTTTATACCAACATATGCCTGAGGAGGGAAAATATATATTTAAACATTTGGGTGATATTTTGGGCATACAAATAAACAAAGTTATCGGGCAAGGCAACAAATTGTGATGTAAAATTTACGAAAAATCTTAAACTAAAACTATCCAAGTCTAAACTAAATTGGAGCGAGCAATCAACGAGTTTGAACAAAAAACGGTCACTAGTAAACTACCATTACGAAGTTACGATATCGCGAAACCGCAACGTGTGCCTTATTCCGGCCTTATGTTCAAATAACTTTCAATAATGCATAACTAAGTAATGTAATACACACACACACACACACACATGGAAGAAAAATATATTTAAGAATCAAGTGAAAATAGCTATACCCAGAGATATTACTGGAGTATCATCAGATGCCTGGAGCCATTGGCATATTGAGGAGGATCAGGGATGCATCAGGAATGTGAGTGCACAGCATGTAAGTCAACCTCCTCCAAACCCAAAGCGAATGCAAATCAAATACAAATACAAATATTCCGAGTACTTGAGAGTTTTCCCAGCTGATTTCATTGTGAGTCGGAATGATCCAACCCATTCTTGGGATGCCTCCATAGCTGTTTCCTTGCTGACGGACACTGACTTGCTTGCTTTGTCTACCCTACACAACTAAGAGCAAGTTAAGAGAGCCGGCCTGGTTGCCTGAGAGCTTCTAAGCGCAGAGCAGATGGATGTTGGTGTTAGTGTTAGTGGACACGAAGACGAGGCGAAGATATTTTGCCGAAGATGTTAACGTTGAGGTCAAAAACGAAGACGTTTGGCTTACTTTGCGCCGCCAACGAACTCTACTCCAGGCCGGGCCGACTCACGCTTTTGTGTACAAGTACAAGTTCTATTTCTAAGCGAGATGTGTCTGAACTGAACCCCAAGCAACAGTCATATTTATACTTCGCCGAGGCGGCGACAAAAATTAGTTTTTCAATGACTCGCGTGCCGCCAGGTTATCGGTAGTTAACTGCGAACAACTAGTTATAGTCGTGGACGTGGCCGTATCCGTCTCCGTGTCCGCTTCGTTTCTAATGACCGTAACCGTGGCCGTGCATAAAAAAGTACATACATATATGTATTTGTATATTGGCTTATAGATTGATAAATAGCCGGTCCCAGTTGCTGGAATATGAGTACGAGTATGTGGTGGACCAGCCCAACGAAGTTAAACAGTATTCTATTAAATCCAAGTGAAGTTCTCTTTGGCCATAGCATGATCAAAGCATAAACAAAGAGGAAATATTTATTTTAAAATATATTGAAAAATCACTGTTGACTGAGTGTTGCAAAATATCCCTTGAGCAATCAGCCCTTTAAAAAAGCCGATCGGCCCCTTTCCCTACGAGTATGTATGTACATATGTACATACATATGTTCGATTTTGTATTAATTATCGCTCCACCTATTATTACTGCCCACCAATTTTGCCAGCTAAGCACTGGAGCTGAGCTGGATAATGAATTCGCAAAAATACCTAAACGGATTGATCACTCCTATCCTGCATATATGTATGTACATATGCATACATGCATATTTTAGAAAATACGGGAGTATAAAATACAAATTGCAAGACATAAGAATTAGCAAGAATGAACTTTCGCATCTACTGGCCACCGTCGCAATACGGCCATTATGGCAGCTACAATGAAAATGACAAGTTTGCTATTTTATTTTGTTGCAACTGCAAGAGAAATTCTCTCAGTCAGGGCTTCTTCAATATGAATCACAGCTTTGATAGTTGGCGCCTGTTGAATTGAATTCAGTCCGCATGTCAATGTGCTGTTCGATAGTCTTAAAATTGTTTTATTTTCAGACACCAGACAACACATTATCCTATTTATCCTGTTTCATTTAAATATAGTAAGTTAATGAATAATGTGCAAATGTTCACTTTGGGATCCAAAGCAACTGCAGAATGTTTCAAAAGGCTTGGTGGGGGGGGGGCTTGGTTTAGTTCAGTTCTTGTTCACATTTTAAGTACTAATTGGTCCTTAATGCACAAAGAAGTTGATTAAGTTGCATATGCCTTTTGCCTATTGGCCATTGCCTGTCCTGCGCTTAGAAGACAACAACTCTCGAGTATCCCTCTGAGATATAATAGTTTTTGATTAAAAACAATACTGAAAATACTGTGCTTATATTTATTGTATCATTTCTAATACAGTTATTGTAAAATATTTGTTTTTCTTTATAGACAGTGATTTTATTTGAAGTCCAGATGCTGTGGGCAAGCGCCAATCAATCGCACTGGACTGGCCAGTTCTAATCTTGGGGGTCCAAGTCCAAGGTCGGTCATCAATAGGAAATTGATAAAGAAAACAAATAAAAAAAAAGGCTCCCGACCCGACAACCTTCAACCTGATGTTCAAAATGGACGCCGCAGACTTCTGGCAGCAGGCCCGTGCACCATTCGGCCTGCACACGGCGCTTCATCAACACACTCCTCCGAACCAACAGCAGCAACAGCAGCAACCGCAACAGCAGCAACAGCAACAGCAGCAGCAGCACCACCACCACCACCAGCATCACAATCACCAGCATCAACATCATCCGACAATCTCGCAGCAGCAGGATCACCAGTTACCCCCCAATGCCAATTCAGATGGCACGGCTACCAGCAACAGCAGCAATAGCAACAACCTGTCACTAGGCACTAAAATGGAGTCTAGCGGGCCTCAGCAACATGGTCACCTCCTGCAGCACCATCACCATGTCGAGCAGCCCTACGGCCCCGATTCCTTCAGGGGTCAGCTCTCGGCGCCAGCCCCGCAGCTAAGTAATCATCACCTGCTGTTCAATGCCGCGGCTGCCGCCGCCGCCGCTGCCCACCTCAAGTCTACAGCTCTACAGAATAACATTTCGCCCCCGTCGGATCAGTCCAACATGCTCAGAAGCTATGGCCATAATTCATTAAATCCCGCCATCAAGCCAAAACAAGAGCTTGACCAACAGCCGCAGCGACGCGATGAAAGCCGCCAACAGCAGACGGAGCAGGCATACACTGGTGACTTCTACGATGCGGGTGACGCCCCAGGGTCCGGCCCGGATGCCGCTGCAAGTGTTACCTGCACTAGTAGCGTCGGCGCGGATCAATTGCAATCCAATCAGCAAACTCAACAACAGACTTCAGGAGGTCTTCAGCAACCACAGGCACAGCCCCACCGGCAGCTACAGAGTCCAGGGCCTCCTGGAACGGTAGTGCTAAACAAACCGTTATCACAAGGTCAGCAGTCGCCTCAGCACTCAATAACTCCATCTGGTGGCAGCTCTACTCCCGAAATTAAATACAACAACGACAAGATGGCCAACGAGATTCAGGTAATACTTTGTTACATACAAAGCATATACATATGCATATGTAAGCATAGCGGTGCATTCTATTTGCATGTGGAGTACCTAGTGGAGTGGTACATGCATATATATATAGATATATATATGTGTGTGTACAACGTGGACCAGTAGATTTCCTTATTGATGTCCTTGAAAGTTATTTTTCTTTCTACTCTTACTTTAAAGTTTCAAAGTGAACGGCTTTGGCTTTGACCACCGATATTTTGACGCATTCGTGCGGATGTGCGTGTTTTTGTCCCGCACGACCACGAGCCACGTACGAGTATTTTCCAGTGTCCAAGAGCTTCCTGATCCGAGTGTTCTCTTTTCCAGTGGCTAACGTTCGAAGCATTAAGAGAAACTCTCAAAATATCCCAACGGCAAGCAAGCAAGCAATGTTTAGCTATTACCTTACTTACCCCTTTTTGAGGGGTTAAAAAGCTCTCCTCTTGGTTGAACCCTGAACTGAAGGGGTAATGTAATTGTTCTTGGAATTCCTGGCGTTTAAATGATACCAACAGCCCTTTTCTTGCACCGCTTGAGACTTTTTCCTTCCTTGGACATCTGTACACGTAGACCAGACCAGACCAGACCAGACCCCTCGCTATGTAATATGTACATATGTATGTATGTGTATCGACTAGTCTGGGTAAGGGGATGGAAATTGGAAAAAGGGGTTGAGCAGGAAAGCGAAATAGTGGGATGAGAGCAAAAGAGGGAGAGAGAGAGTGAGAGTGAGAGCGAGAATATGTATATTCTTATCGTTTGCTTAGTTTTTGCGCTGTGCTTTTTCTTGAAGTAACCCCAATTTCTCCTCCTTTATCTGTGGGTGTGTGTGTATGTGTGTGTGTGTGTGTGCGTGAATCCTTAACTGGTTTCAGTTATAACTTATGAGGCGGTGGGTTGGGATGGGGGGACGCAAGTTTAGTATTATACTACACACACACCTACATACATTCACAACTACACAAGAACGTTTCGTTTCGTTGTTCCTACGCCAGACGTTTCGTTTTTATTTTTCCTTGCCTTTTCTTGCCTTGTCTTTTCCCCATTCTATGCGTTCAGAAAAGAGAGAGCGAACGAGTTTTTTCTCATTCTTGGGGAGCTTTTTGTGTCTGTCTTTTTTTCATTATAACTTTACTCGCGCAGCGCATATTTCCTTCAAGAAAACAATAATAGCGTGGCGTAGCGTTGTACAGGAACAGAGAAAGAGACGCAGAATTAGGAGCTGACGTCGACGACAGCGACGACGGCGCGATAGTATAAGAAGAAGAACCTGGTACGGGCACAGTGTCCCGTTTGTGGATGATAAGCGCAGCGTCTCTGCACCGCCAAGGACTACCGACTACCGGCAGAAGTTCAAAGGACATCGGACCGTAAGGTTGTGTGACTCCGCGCTTCTAACTTCAATAAATCCGTTCGCTAAAGTTGTCGTGGTCGCGAGAAACTGTAAATTTGATTGACAACAACGCTAGAAACTAAAAAATAAAAAGGCCCCCGAAAAATAAAAGGAATAAAGTGGCGACGAGTACAGCAAAAGTTCAGACTGTAATAGTCTTTCAGGGCATTGATTGTCTCTGCCTCCCCCCGCATGCACATCATATGCTGCATACTCGTATGAGTGAAAACGAAACGAAGCCCATAAATAAACTAGCGGCAAGGCAGATTGTAGTGCTGTATGGATCCAATCTTATCCAGTCCAGTGCAGTCTACCAGATCCAATTGTGTGGATAACGTTGATAATTTAACCAAACCCATTTAACTCAAGCGAATCCGAAAAAGAAAACCAATCCGACAACTAATATGGAAAAACGTGCGCGACTCTGAAACTCAACAAAAAGAAAAAAATTAAGAATTAACAAAGAGGAGCTGAGTGTTGTATTCGTTCCGTTTTGTTTCGTTTCGTTTTACGATCGGCTAACTTGATCGGTATCGTTTACACAATGACACTTGACTATGAAGAGGAGCACGATGTAATTTTTAATTTTCAATTGAAACCTAACTTTTCAAAATTGATATTAAACCTACGCGATTTTATTCGTTGGCGATTGGAAGTTTTCTTTATTTAGCTCATGGTGTTTTTTTATTACTTAGTTTAAACCACCTTTCATAGATAACGGGTTATTTTATTTTATTTAACAAATTTAAAATGGCATTTCCCATATTCTCCTCTGGCCAACTCGATACGATTCGCAAAATGGAACCTGTCGATCTGTTTATATACATATGAATTTACTATTAATTATATTATTGGCATGGAGACATTGACAGAGACATACACACATAAATAAATATTTACTCACATATGAAAATCTTTTTATTTTTCTTTCCAATAAACGTCAAACCCCCTGGGGGAAAATATTGTAAGATATTTATATGGTTAAGGAAATGCTTCGATTACAAGAAGAGCTTTCAAAACATTTAATTACTTTGAATCCAAACTTGTTTTCTCATATCTACATGTAGATAGTATTGTAGATATTATGTACTGTTCGACAATATTTGGAAGACAACTACGAAGCCTCATGCTCTTGCCAAAGGATTTTATTTATTTTGTATCCTTTGTAAATTAAAACTAAATGATAATAATTTAATTACATGAAAATATGTACTTTCATACACACATACATATGTATATACGTACATATGCACGCATTATTATTACTATGAACATTTATTTGTAATTTTGTAAACTTTTTGTACCGTTGCAGCTTCAGCTATCCCGGTCGAGCAGCGCAGCCGCGATCAGTGAACGCACCCTTGAAGAATGTTGGTCAACCCTGCAACGAGTGAGTTGGCATCTGTTCCGTTGTGTATAGTACTCTTCCTCGTCAAAGACACAAACACAACAATTGTACCACCACAACACCAACACAACACTTCTCAGATTAGAACACATTCCACACACACACACAATCAAACAATTAACATTAGCAAAACTTATGTAGCTCGAAGTAAGAAGCGCTAATCTGGACCGCTTAGAAGAAGTACTAGCACCTTTTTTTGTGATTCCGATACGCTTCAATAATGAACTGTGCACACATAAAATGTGACATTAATTAACGTAAGATTTGTATTCCTATGTTTTTTATTAGTTTAAATTCTAGCCTAAGTTTTACTTTCCTCTATAAAAACTGGTAGCAAAAAAGCTGCCGGTAACACTTAAATTGTTAGCAATAAACTTTTTATTTCTTGACAATATTTCAATGTTTTACTTTAGTTTACATTCAATTGGTTTCATTTTAATTTCTTATAGTACTTTGATTATACAGGCGCCGCTCACACAGGCCCTCATCTCATGTCAAATCGGATGATGACTTTTTTATTGGATTACTAATACATATTGCTCAACAGACCAGTATTACTATTGCTGTATCAGCGTTTTGAGATATGCACTTACGATGGTTGTCGATTTCTTTCAAGACAATTTAACGTATCAACATACATTTGCTATAAATATGTATTCTTTCATCGAATTCAAAATCACAGATAAAGAATTGCATTTTTATTTCCATATTATGACCCCCTTTTAAAGAGTTTTATTTATGGAAATTAGCAGAGCATTATCAGCACAATGAGAGACGGTACATTTTGGTACATTGTACATATGTACACACTCGTATGTATGGCGAGCTGTTTAATTTTTAATGGCCCTAAAAATCATGTCTTGCCTTAGTCCTCGATGATAAATAGTACATCTTCTATTTGGACGAAAATAATTTGAAATAAACTTACATGCATGTATGTATTCTGTACCAGCTTTAAAAAATCAAAAATTAATATATGCATATGAGTCATATTAAAAATTGAAAAGCTTATACAGGAATATTTTTGCTTTCGAAGACGCAGATGCCCTTAGAAAAAATCCCATGAATGCTTACCATATACTATATTGTACTATGCGTGGCCTTGAGTTACTGTGATAGACTATGTACTTTATGGCCGTGAATGGGAAATTGGAAAATTCTTCAAATTTTCAAGGGTGTCGACCCATATGTACATATGAATGTAGACATACACATTTACTGTAGTTAAGGAAAACGGCATTAATTTTTTATTGTCCTACCCCCAATACCGACAATTTCTTTTCTTATAGAACTGCTACCCTGACACCACCCCACACATTTTTTGCAACCATTTTTATTTCATTCAGTTTACCTTCGACCAACAGGGGGAAACACGGTTACCGCCTCCTGCTACCCCTAAGGTATAGGGAATGACGGTATAGGCTTGTAAATGCATTATGTATACTACCCCTGCTAGTAGGTCCATCCCTCAGTGACTGTGTATTGAATTGGGGTCGAGGACTTAAATGAAGAAACGGCAAAAATATAACATTTAAGGAATGAAACTAAAAAAACTAAAAAAACCTAAACTATAAACATGGAAGTGTAAACTCTTTCTATTTGCCGGGAGATAGAAACATTTTAATTGTTCTAAAATTTTCCTGCAAGCGCTTCAGGTTCAGTACTCGCAGTCAGTTATTTAGGTATTGTACGAATTTTTGTTAGACTTTTTTAAACTTTCATATACACATGTATGTATGAACGAGTATGTATGTATGTTCCATCGCCTCGAATACAGAGTAACGTTTTTCGTGAGAATTTTTTTGTATATATGCACAGAATATGCACATAAATATGTACATATGTATGCATTTATATATATACACAATCTATTTGCTATTCCCCTTTATTCACATCTTCTGGCTCGCGTCCAGGTCCAGTCCACCTCACACTATTCCACGCACACACACAGATGCCGAGGACCCACACAGAAACGCCCCGCCATGCCGTGCTGGACCTGTTCTTCTATCGCACTCGCCTCGCCTGGCGTGGCCTCGCCTCTCCTCGCCGTTTATTATCGCAATCTCATTTGCCGGCGATTCGCAAACTGCTGTTGGCTGGTTCTGGACACAGTAGAGAGTCCTGTAGAGTTCGTTCGCCATTTTTATGCGATTCAAGACGAAGCGAAGGGGCAAAGACGCCTGTAGTTGTGTCCGCCTCTATCTGTTCCTGTGCATGTACGACTACTCACCAAAGCCAAATGAATAAAAAGTGCAGTCTGTCTCGGCCAAAAACGAGTGGTTGTGGCGAAACGACGGAGGTTGTTACCGCCGTTACCAGTGAAAACAAAACATCGGCCACATGGCCAACCAACCAGAGAGCGTCGTACGCAAGCAGGCCTCGCCTCGCCTCGCCCCTCGCTATCACTCTGCACCTACTTACCTCTTGGAGAACAACGGCCGGTATCGGTATCGGACTTGGTATCGTTCTCCGGTTGGACTTCTTTTCTGTTCTTTACTTTTTATACCCGTACTCGAAGAGTTAAGGGGTATATTCGATTTGTGGTAAAAGTGGATGTCTATAACGCATATACACATCAGCATCAACAGCCGAGTCGATATAGCTATGTCTGTCTGTCTGTCCGTCTGTCCGTCTTGTTTTTCGCCTAGTTCTCAGATACTATTAGAGCAAGAGCAACCTATCCCTTGCAGCGCCGCAGCGCTACTCATTCTATCTCTCGCTCACACACACTCTGCCTCGTGCAGGGTTCGACCTCTGGCGGAGGATATGTAGAAACTACATTGTAGATGTAGCAAAAATATGTAAACAGATACAAATTTAAAATTCCACATAAATCATAAGCTCACATATGTATGTACATACAATGTAAATAATGACTGAGTACGGGAATAAAAGTTGAGTCGCGGCAACAGATGCGACCCATAACGTTCCTCCTCGTTTACCTTTATTTTTTTGGGCTTCTGACCAGATGCATAAATAGCCGAGAGGTCGTTTCTGTGTCTTCTTAAACTAGTCCAGCCCCCCCCCCCTCAGTTCGACTCCCATAGCATGTGTAAATCATCAGTAAATAATTGTTAACATTATTATTATTAATATAAAAATATAGTCCAGCTACTTGGGAATAAAAACCAAGCTCTATTATTCTTGATTTGACGAAATCATATCAGATCGGTATTTGGGTCATACGATCGATTAAGAACAGGGGTCGGTAAAGGCGCTGCTGCTGCGATGCCGCTCACGTACACGTGTATTACAGTGGTAGGCACCAATGTTGTTCCGTTGTTCCTGCTGTTCCGGACACAATCGCACTGCAAAACATGTGATTGTGTGCGTGCCGACCACTGATTTAGAGGGTATCTAAAATTTCGGCCCGAAGCTGAATATTCTTTCATGTTCTATTTGCTTTTGGATTTTTTTGGCCCCAATGAAAATTTGTTAAAAATCAGCAATTATGGCGGCCTCGCAAGGTGAGCAGCACCGATTTCTAGATTTTGTATTTCTAGATCACCTATGATATGACCAATGATAGCATTGTTTATTTACCTTTTATAGTTTTGACTTTTTTCTTTATTCTCGATTTGAACAAAAAGGTGAACTTTTGCTGACATGTTTTTCACTTGTACAACATGCAACGATACACATTTTTATAAAAATCGCTTTAAAACAAAAAAGTTTGTACATATGTATATGTATATCACACGGGAACAAAAAATGCGAAAATGTAGTCGAGATAATCTATCTATAAATGGAACCGGTAGAGCCCCCCGCGGAGACAGTTTTCCCATGGAGGTGGTGGGGACCAAATGTTTAACCTTCCCTAATTACTGGATATACTATATGTACTCGCACCTACATACATATGTTCATATGTAAACACATATGTATTCAAAATGTGCATAAAACCGGAACAAGTTTGAGATTTAGTGAACTAATAACACTACTCTGTTGAGGCAGGTTGGGAAGTGCAAAGCCTTCCTGGCTTTTATTATCAACTGACTCTGTTACTCTGTTTCAACGTGTTACTTGCAATTTCAGCTTTTTATGCACAAAAGCGCCATGCAGCAAATACAACAACAAATTCCTCGCGTCGGACTGGCGACGCACGGAGTTACCGGCACGCCTAACTTGGCTGGCAATGCTACACCCGGAACGGACACCAAGCCACACCAGTGCCAACAGTGCATGAAGAGTTTTTCCAGCAATCACCAGCTCGTTCAGCACATCCGTGTCCACACTGGAGAAAAGCCGTACAAATGCTCTTACTGTGATCGTAGATTTAAGCAGCTGTCCCATGTCCAACAGCACACGCGTTTGCACACAGGTAAGTTTAGACTTATTCATGTACGTAGTAAAAGTATGTATTTATGTATGTACGTATGGAATCATCGTAGTGAACGCAGAAGCCTAGATCCGTTTCCGTTTAATCGATTCCATTCCATCCGTCTGTCCGTCCGTCCGTGTTGTTTGTCGTCTAGATTTCAGAGACTATAAGAGCTAGAGCAACCAAATTTTCCCACTCTTAAAAGTGTATTTCAAAATTTCGCTCCGCCTCCTTCCGCCACCACAATGTTCATTTGCTACCCCCACCTCCTCCAGCAAGAGGCCACGCTACCTATTCTCCTTCTCGCTCGCACACATTTTGCCCTATGCAGTGCGCGACCTTTCGCAGATATGTAGAATATACATTGTAGATGTAGATGACAGATGTAGCAAAAAAAAATGAAAAAATATAAAATTTTTAAAATTCTACATAAAGCATAAGCTCACATATACATATATATATACTGACTGACTACGGGTATAAAAGTAGAGTCGCGTCCACAGAAGCGACTCACCCGTTCCTTCTGTTTTTCTTTCGCAATTTATATTTTTCTTATTATGTGCTTATTCCTTCTTGATTTGATCTTATCTTCTTCATTCTAATTGTAATTACAAAGCTGATGAAAAATGCTTAGTGCTCGTTCTTGATTAATTAAAAACGGCCGCCAGCCTCAGTCCGAGCCCCAGACTCATAATTTCATAGGCACTCAGTCGTCTGCTGCCAACTGCTACTGCCATGGGTCACTGTCTCCCTCTCACCAGTTGGCGTTGGCGTTGCCGCTGTCCCTATCTCATGGACCTTCAAGTTCGTATTCGTATTCGTATCCGTGTATCCTGCGTTCGGCAAATATTTTTTAAGGCTGGCAACACCCATTTCCAAATGCAAATGCCAATGACAAAGATAATTAAATAAACTTTGAGTGCTTTTCGAGCAGCCCGTTTTGCGACAGAAGACAGCTGTGAAGAATGAATAGGTCTAGGAATATGAGTTCACGCCAGGTCGCGGCGAAACAACAACTGAAATTATTCAACGTCATTAGCTGCATTCAATGTCATTTGATAGACCCAGACCCAGAGCTATTCAAGTGCCACCGTATTCCGTTCTGCTCAACCAAATTATATCACACCTGATTGCAACTTTACAATTGCCTGATTTTTTTATTTTGCGTTTTTTCATATATATTTTTTGTGAAAATACGTAAAAAAAATAAAATACGCTTTAATTATAAACCAGTTTGCGCCCTGCCACGATAACGGCAGCATAGCGACAGCAGCAGGGAACGGAAACGGCAACGGCAACCTCTGCGATGATGTCGCATTTTACCTCTTTATGAAGGACGGTTGCCGGTATCCTGCCTGGGCCGCTGTGTTGGTCTTGGTCCTGGGGTAATTAGACAATAGTGTCTCAGGCGTTTCTTAAAGGTTAAGCAGGCGCAAATAAAAAACATCATTGCTAACAAGCGCGACATATAATGGATAGCGAGCCATTAAGTGGCCAAAAGCCGCAAAGCGAAGTTCCAAGCTAGTCAAGCCAAGCTCCATCGCATATTTAAAGGCGTTTAAAGTGACAGGTCAAATGAAGTGGCGCTAAGGCAGCGACTACGTGCCGCAAGGTGTGAACACTGCTGCAATTTCTGCTCTCGTTGCCGCTGGCCTTACTCCGAAGAGTGTGGGCCTGTGTTATGTCTGACGGTGTCTCGACGGTGACCGCATCTTCATCTACACGACTGCACTTTGTAACTATTTATTTGTGTTTAATGCTACTGGAAAGCAAAGTGACTCTAAGTAGCTTAAACGTTTTAGACTTCAGGTTCTCAGTCCCCGGACGGCCGTGGCCTATCCCTGTCCCGTCCCTGGCGCTGTCCCTGTCGCTGACCCCCACTTTGTATTTAATTGCGCGTTCAAATGAAATTAATTTTGCTTTAAATCTAAAATGCGTAATTTCCGGAGAAGTGCAACTTTTTAAAAAGCTTCCCAGTTGCACTGTTTCGGTTGGGCACCAAAGGGATTTTCATCACGGTCTAGACGTCATTTTCGAGAGCTTGCTGTTTAATCTCGTTAAAATGAAGTCAATCAGTCAATTACGCGCCTTCAGCTATTTTGGCGACCTCTCCGGGCAGTATTAAATTAAGGCCACACATTTTTTTTTAACTAAAATCTTTTTTCCCTTTGAAACTTGGGTTTGAGGATAATTAGAATATTTATTTTTAGTTATTATGATTACTCATCAGTATCTGAATTAGTACTTCAAGGATACATCTATGTACATATCTAAGTACTAGTATGTAAGTACTACTTAGTGTGTGATTAGCAGCCAGTAAGCGTAGCTAATAATGCGAACACTATCTACATGATTATATAACTAATAGACTGATCTTAGACTGACGGTTAGAATATTTAAAGATTTATTAAACACACAATTGCAGGAGAACGCCCCTACAAATGCCACCTGCCCGACTGTGGTCGAGCCTTCATACAGCTCTCCAATCTGCAACAACATCTCCGAAATCATGACGCCCAAGTGGAACGTGCCAAGAATCGTCCGTTTCACTGTAATATTTGTGGAAAGGGGTTCGCCACTGAGTCCAGTCTGCGGACGCACACATCCAAAGTGAGTTCTGATCCAATAATACAATAGTTAAGATTGACCCAATCACAACTACAACAATAACTACATTTTTCACTCTCATTTACGGTGTCGTCCGTGTGGCATTCTATTATTTTTTTCTATCTTTCGACATCGACATCGATTTCGCTATCGATCTCATCTGTCCTTTTAATGTGCACGTGTCAAACATCATCACAACCAACAAACCAACAAATGCCGCATAATACTGACAGGAGCTACAGCTGCATCTTGGTGTCTTGCAGCAGCATGCGGCACTCATCGGTGGTCCCAATGCAACATCCTGTCCGGTGTGCCACAAGCTCTTTCTTGGTACCGAGGCGCTCATGGACCATATGAAACACGTTCATGAAGAAAAAAGCCCAGCACCAAGTGGAACAGGTAAGATACAAAAGAGCAGACCATGAAATTTCGAGTTTGAATAGTTGTAACATAAGTTCAAAATCACCCCAATCCCCGCAGCCGCATCGCATTTTAGTGAGATCATAAACTGTGCGGGTGGCAACGGAAATGATAGTGTAAGTGGGAGCGGACCAATTGGCTCACAATGTACATCCGAGTCCACCTGTGCGAGGATACCGACACATCCCCCAACTGGGAGTGGACCAAGCCTCAGCGACAGCTACCTGGGAAAACGAAGAACTGCCAATCATCCATGTCCAGTCTGTGGCAAGCATTACGTCAACGAAGGCTCTCTGCGAAAGCATCTGGCTTGCCACGCCGAGACCTCCCAGCTCCCAAACAGCCTTCGCATGTGGCCCTGTAGTGTGTGCCAGGCTGTTTTCACACATGAAAACGGTAGTAGAGCTAATAGTTTCCAAAGCAGGCCTTTTAATCATTTTGTAACCTCCCACAGGCCTTCTTACCCATATGGAGTCGATGCGTATGGATCCCAAGCATCAGTTCGCAGCTCAATACGTCTTGGTATGTTACGAATAACAACCAAACCCAATTAAAATCTTAAATTTACTGTACATACTGCTAACCCTGATCTTTGGGCCACCACTGGTCTGGGCTTCTAAAGGAAGCTTCTATACTTAAAAATCTTTAGAAATGCCATTTATACCCGGAGTTAATATTATTGTTGGTATCGAATCAGGTCCAGACAGCATATTTCTTTCTGAAGATAATTCAACCAAACCCAACAAGTTTCGTTATCGATTCGGCCAAATAAAATCAAAATCGGACAGATAGGAGTGGCGGTTGAAAAATAAGTCTTTGTGAGAAAATAAATTTAGTTACCAAAAATAATTCAACTGAACGTTAGAAATTGAATTTGTTAGCAAGTATATTCCAAAGCTTAACAGCGAAAGCTGTTCTTTATAGTCAAGCTAAAAACTCGCAGCATCAACAACTCCTTCTATAGGAACGTTCAATATGCAGGGGCTAAAATGAGGCTATTATTTCAGAAAATCTTTCCGCATTTTTACTGGTATAATAATAACATACATATGTATATATTTAAATATTCAACTTTAGTCCCGAGCTGCAGCAGAGCAACGAGAGCGCGAGAGCATACTAGCGGCAACAATAGCCGCCGGCAGCGCAGGTGCTGTCAGCGCAATTGGAGTTGGAGAGGCGAGAAACGTACTGCCTATGGGTGTGACAAACTCAGGAGGATCCAACTCAAAGTGTCCGTCACCATCAGCAAACTCGGAATGTTCTTCGAACGGACGACTCTCGTCGTCATCAACCTCCGATCAAGATCAAGACCACGATCACGATCACGGCCTGAGTGAAAACGAGAACAGTAGCCACAACAATATCAGCAGCACAAATAACAACACCCTTTGCACGAACAACAACAACTGCAATTCCAGCAAAATGAACCATGAGCTGCGTCTTCCCAACTCCAGCCAATACAGTATGGATACCGGGCTGCACGTCGCCAATCGAATGTCACTTATGGCAGCAGCAGCCGCAGCTGTAGCAGCATCCCGACCCCAGGAGGGAGTTGATTGTTCGAATGTCCCCAGTGCGGCCGTCCAAGCTGCTGTGGTTAACCTTGCCGCTGCTATGCGTATGAACAATCCCAACAATGCTACTACCGCACTTGTTGGACACTCTGCGCATTCCCATTCCCTCCAGCACCAACAGCATGTAAGAGATGGTAACTGAAATTAGAGATTAGCGAAGCTGACATGCAGTTGCAATTGCTACTAAATCGAAATTTGAAAATCAAATCTTAAATTTGTGACTTTCGCTCATCTCTTTTTTTGATTTTTTTTATAAAAACGAATCGTAATATTTTTTGTTTTGGTCCTCTTTGCAGCTCGGCGAACATTCTTTGCCACACCATCAGCACCCTCACCATCTTCAGCAGCAGCAGCAGCAGACACCACAGCACCATCATCAGCAGTTGTCACATTTGTTAGGGCACGGGCACTCTCATCCTGGGAACAATTCCCATTCTCGCCGTTCGCCGAATATAAATGTGCCGAGCTTGCAGATGCAAAACGAGTCATCAGCTAACGCATCGTCCGTTGCAATGAACATGAACGTAAGCATGATGCGTGGCTCCCTAGAACCAGACTCAACTTTGGGAGGAATGAATGCGATAGAGGCCCTCCATCATCAGCAACAGCATCATCACCAGGCGTCAACTTACTCACAGCATGCAGTGGCTCCTAGTACTCAGCAAGCCCATTCACAACACAGTCACCACCATCCAGAAACCGCTCTCCGCATGCACCAGCAGGCCGAAGCAATTCTGCGCTCCCATGAGGCGGCATTCCGTTTGGCTGCCAGTACTGGCGTCAAAAGCGAGTCAGAACAGCAACAGCCCAATGGTGGTAATGGTAATGGTAATGCCAGTGTCAACAGTAACGAACAGCATCGATTTTCGACACATCAGCAAGAGCAACAAGTACCGCCGAGCTCATGAAGCTTGGCGGTGATGGAGCCCAGTAGGATAGGTACAGATAAAAATACAGAATCAAGTACAACGATTTCGTAATTGCGTCGATTGCAGCAATTAAAATAGGATTAAATATATGTACACATATATATATGTATGTGCAAACTTCTATGAATATACTATACCATAAATGAGGTACATATTTCAATATGTAAATGCGATTACGTTTGTATGTACTTACAGCAATGCCCGTAAGTCAGTGTGCAATATTATATGGATCGTCACTTATCGGAACCAGATTAGAAATCATGTAAAAAATCCTTTGTGTTATGTTTACGTTTATAAGATTAAAGAAATAAATCACTTGTAAATGAATTTGCTTGGACTCGAGGGAGCTCAAGTTCGGATCTCATATATGGAGCACTAGGTTGCCATGTATAATATACATCTTGCATGAAGAGAGCTATATCCAATATTCGGAATTCCTGCCAGGAACATAATTACGTCACTGAAAATTAACGTTCCCTAAACTTAATCTTTGGTTCCTACACTGAGTATATATGTATAATTCCTATGATATAGGTCGGACAAAAGAAGTTGCATTTAAAATTAGTTCTGAAAATTCGTTTTATATAATTAATATTTCATCAATTCTCATTTTATCGTTTTCTTGCTCGAGGTTAATCAATGAACATCTTATATAGCAAGTGCTTAAGATCTATACACATCAGAAAAAGGTCATATATTCACACCGACGTCAATGCTCTATTCGAGCACTCAAATATATACATATATATATATTTGAAATGGGCTCGATTTTAATTTGTATTTTTTGCGGCGGAGGCAGTTGTAATTACTGTGAATCTTAATGGTGACACATCCCTTTATTTCTAGACCTATATCTATAGACTATAGCTAATTAGATGATCAATCCTGCAAGCCACCGCTACGTCCACGCTTTTGAGGTGAACAGTACGAATTAGCCGGGCTACCAGTGCCACTAAAAGTCTTGTCCTGAGCCCGCTTTAAGTTTAGCGTGTTTGCGGGCGTCTGTAGTTTAGTTGTAGCAGGATCTACAAGAAGTTTTAATAAACATTTTAGAGTACCATTTATGGGTACATATTAAAAGAAACTATTTAAATCTTTAATTACCCTGCAGCCACCTAACTTGCGTCGCTGGTCCGTAACCCTTTTGGTTGCGCGCCGCAATCCGGAATATAATAGCTGGCTTATTCGAGCAATCTACATGTGCGTTAGAAAGCGAGGCGTTCGGCACTGTGCACTGATTGGCTGCACCTACATATACTCGCACAAAAGCCAGTTGTGGCGACGCCAATGCCTTGTCCTTTGTCGTGGGCTTTACAGCAAGGTATACCGAGTACTCGACTATCTCTTTTGTTTTTTGTGCTGGAGGCGGCTCCCATGTTAAATGAGCGCCCTCCTTAACGTCCTTTGAAATCTTTATTGCCGATGGGGCACCTGGGAAGCCGGGCAAACAGGTTTTAAAACTGGATATCTGTAAAGAGATAAATTTGGTAATAGATAAAAGTAAAATTCAATCAATCAAATTTAAACAAACCTCTCCCCATTCGCCACGGCCACATGAATTAATAGCAGCCAACCGAAAGCGATAAGCTGTTCCTGGATCTAAGCTGATGCGTGGAAATTGATTAAAGTCCGGCAAGTTATCGACATCTAAGCTTTCAAGAATACCATCATTGAAATACTTTGAGTCAATATAGCTGGTAACTGTATGCGAGAGGTCCTTGAATACCCCGACTGTTTGCCATTTCTCGTTTTCGTTGTGTGAGGTGTTTTGCGCTGGAGGGGTGGTGGCGTTTTGTTGATCCTAAAAGCAGACGAAGTAAAATAATAAAAAGGGATTGCTATAAAGCACTTTTCAAGGTACAAACATTGGTTTGTGGATTATCAGTAGTTGCATTTCCTATCTGTGCTAGTGAGCCGCTACCCGATCGTTCGAACAAACTTTTCACCGCTTGACTAGAGTTCGCCGAAGCGGTAGCATCTGCCGTGGCTGCTTGCATTACAGCTGCTGAAGCTAATGCCTCCAAATGTGAGCCATCCACTAAAACAAGAAAATAACACGAATATCAAACTGTGCCCTGTCATTGCCGAATGGGTACAAACCATTTTGGTGTTGATGAGGTTTATGAGGTATGGCTATAGGCATTGATCCTGCACCAAAATCACCATCCGTATCTCGAGTTCCATCGTCTCCCACTCCACGAGTAGTGGAAATGGTTGGATCCTTTCCGACTCCTGCGCTCCCCAAAACTAAAGCCTCTCCAGCTTTTATGTTTGTTAGTATAGTGGCGGCTTCAGTCTCAGACGTTGTTGGCCGGCTGCAGGTACTGTCCGAGGATGAAGGCTTGGCCTATGAAAATAATAAAGGTAATGAGAAACACCGTCATATACACATCAGTAAACACTGCTTACCATAAACTCAATGCAATTCATCTTCTCTTCCCCGGATTCAGCGCTATTAACACTTTTAATGCTTTCCGCTGGTGTCTCCTTGGTATCAGTAGTGCTGCTGACGCCGGTTATATCTTCAACAGTGCCCACTTGTTGGTCAGTTATTCTTTGATTGTGATCGCTTGAGCCACTTGCAGATGACTGGCCATCAGAATGGCCTGACGCTGAAGCTGACGTTGATGTGGCATTGTCGTCATTTACTCCCTCTTCAGATCTCCCTTCGGCTTCATGTGTAGGATGCTTTTGTAATAGATCGCCAGCACCATCCAACTGCTCTATTATATCGTCCATAGGATCAGTTTCCGTTATATTCGCAATCGGACTGCTCTTATCGGCTACGGCCTCCTTCTGTACCTGCACCTGTGCCGACTGCACAATCTTGGCTGGCACACTCTTGGTCGTCAAAGTCAGGGCACGTGAACTGCCACCGGCATTAAAAATGTTAACGAAGCTTTTTCTGGCGCTAAGTGTGGTGGTAGAACCAACGTTGGTCGCACTTGTCCCTGGCAAAACTACTAGTTTATTTGAGTTACTGCTAGATCCAGGAATTCCAGAATTCGTGCTCATTACAGTGACTGGTTTGCCACCTATATATAGTGCCGTCTTTTGCTGTAGAGGAGAGCTACTCAGTTTTTGTCCAGTCGCCACTGATGTGGATGATGATAAGTTGCGTATCATTTTGACGCCACTCTGGTTGGATATCACCGCTCGTTGACCACCAACCGCCTGCAGGGTACTAGTGGTGGTCGACGTGGAGCCCACTATACTAACTATGCTTGCTCCCGTTCCTGTCCCGGCCGTGCTCATCACAGTGCTGGCAGGAACGGTTCGCAGATTGCCGCCTGTGGTGACAATAATGATCTGCTGGTTGCCCAGCTGCGTTCCCTGCTTGTTTGTTATAACGAAAGCAGGTTTTCCGCCCATTACATTTGGCGTCACCTTGCCCATCTGCAGAATGTTTGAATTCTTCATGATTAATTTGCCGCCACTAGTCATTGCATGTGGTGAAACAAGCTTCAGAACGTTGCCAGATACAATAGGTTTATGATGCTGGCTCCCAGGCGGCGTCGGTCCTGCTAATGATGAAACTGCTGAGCCAGCCGAAGACACCGACTTTTGTGTTCCAGAAGTAATCTTTAAAAATAAAGCATGATAAAAGCATTTCAGTTCCAAGTGTTGCGCTTTTTGTGGCTCTTGCACACGCGTCCTTCTTACCTGAATCTGGGCGGAGCCGGCGGACAACTGCTGATTTGTAATCGAAAGACCCTGTGAAGTAGCTCCTTTGGCTATATTAAAGTTCATTTTGGGCAGCGTCTGTACGGTCATGCCACCACCGCTTGTCTTAACAAACTGCAGCTGCACATTTGGAGCCAGGGTTAGCGGCTTTTGGATAAAGTACTGCTTGCCACCTATTGACGTTGTCGCCTGTCCTGTGTGCTGCGTTTGAACAGCAGTGCTCGGCAGTGCTGTTTTTATAATATTAGTTGCGGTGCCTCCCCCAGTGCTATGTGTGGATGCTAGACGCAGTGTCTGGGATGCAGTTACGCTGGGTACGAGGCGTAGGCTGCCACTTGAAGCCGAAGAACTGAGCACAACGTTCGATGCCATTGAACCAGACACGCGCACAGCCAAAGTGTCCCCGCCAGTTCCTACTGCTGTTGTGGTTGTGGAACATGTCCGTGAAGGGACTAGACTGGAGCGAAACTTTTGCAGCATGCCACTGCTACTACTAGTGGTTGCAACATTACCCCCGACAGAAACTGCAGTACTGCTGATTATGGATATCTGCGGTTGTACACCGATCGTCGATGTTGGCAGGGTAAAAGAAGTTCCGGCCACAGCTGTGACAGGCTTCACTTGAAATTGGGTGTTTGTCGATGACGATTGTACAATGTCAGTGAATCCCACGCTCGCCAGTACAGATGCGGTCTTAGCCGCAGTTGTTGGTGGTTGCACGACGGCTTCGGATAGGCTAGCTGCGCCCGGACTCTTTTCAAATTTCGATGAAGCAGCAGCAGCTTCGACTAACAATCGAGATATCGGTTTCATTTGCAATTGTGTGTTTGGTGATGCAGATTGCGATATGTCCGTGAAACTAACACTTCCCAATACAGATGCAGGCTTCGTCGTAGCTGCTGCTGCCTGAACGGTTGCTTCGGATGCACTTGCCGCCCCCGCCGCATGATGCAGCACTGAAATCTGACTCTTTTCGAACTTTAACGCAGCTTCCATTCCAACTGAAGGTGTAATTTCCGAGCCATTTGCTGGTGGGGCTACTGTAGACGTTGTTCCATATTGCACCAGACTTTGAGCTGATTGCTTCGAGCTTGGATTTGCTGCTTGCTCTATTTTCTGAATCTGCAACACATAGGCCGCTGCGAAGGTAGTTGCAGTCCAAGATAGCTCAAGGGCATGTGTGGATGCGCGCACAAGTGCCACTTTAACTGCATAAAGAGGTTTCGTCACCTCCAGATACCAGAGGTCTTTGCAGCAAACCTATGCACGAGAGTACATTGAGTTGAATATGAATTAATATTATATTCGGACTTAACAAGTTTCTTAAAAGTTTAACAGGAGAATATCTCACCCTAACCTGGTTGTTCCATGCTTTGCGGTAGCCATCCCGTCCTGACCACACATACAGGCGACTTTGGATACCCACTGCACAGTGACCGGCACGAGCCCGGGGTACGTTTTCTTCCACAGTATCCAAGGTGACATTGTCCCAGGTCATAGTGTCTATAAGTAAATGTATTAATAAATTAATTAAAGGGCATATAAAAAGACAGTCAGACTGAAATAGCACGATTATTATTATTAGGAAAAATCATTTCCTAGCTTCAAAGGCTGGTAGATAAATTGTAATATTTGGACGTATCTACGTCCGTCATCCAAAAATGGATGGATCAATGGAGTAGAGTACCATACGAATTTGTGTTTTCAGAAATCATCCCTAATTTTTAAATTATAGCCACCAATTCTTCTCTTTAAGATCCCCCAAAGGTTATAGTGGGAGACAAACATTTTTTTTGTAAAAACTTCAAACATACTGACTAAGTACGGGTTTAAAAATATTATCCGAGAATACAATGCCTGACCACCTCAATTGGATTTTTCCTTCGAACAATTAAATTTTTTGTTCTCATTTAAAATTTTTGAAGTGACTTTATGATTGGTATCCGTATCCTTGCCATTAAAGCCACCGCCTTTGGCCGACGTTGAATAGTTCGAACCAAAA